GATCTTAGGAATAAGAAATGGAAAGGTTGGGGCTGGAGAGATGGCTCAGCAGTTAAGAACACTGGTTGTTAATCCCAGCACCCATATGGCAGCTAACAACTGTCTGTAACTCCAGCCCCAGGGATCTGACACCCTCTTCTGACCTCCTCAGGCATTGCACGACACGGGTGCACTTACATACATGCAGGCAATGCACGCATATACATAAAATAAAAATAATAAATAAAATATTTTAAAAATATTTTAACATAGGTTCAAGCACAAAGGGTTCCAATGTTCAAGTGAGGCACACAGAGAGCATGGGTGTGGGTTTTCAAAGAAAAGCGTCCTAATGGTGACTGTACATCACCATCCCTCCCCAACCAGTTTTTCTCTTCGATAACTGAGATTACTGCCATGCAGGCAATGCACGCATATACATAAAATAAAAATAATAAATAAAATATTTTAAAAATATTTTAACATAGGTTCAAGCACAAAGGGTTCCAATGTTCAAGTGAGGCACACAGAGAGCATGGGTGTGGGTTTTCAAAGAAAAGCGTCCTAATGGTGACTGTACATCACCATCCCTCCCCAACCAGTTTTTCTCTTCGATAACTGAGATTACTGCTTGGCTCTGGAGATGTTTTAGACAGAATTACAATCTGATGATCTAAAACCAGGAGCCACAAGGGTTGCACAAGGCGTTTGGGAACCTGTGTTTTCCCTGTATGTATCTGGTGTGATTCCTAGATAACTGTTGGCTGGAAAAGCCGGGCATGGTGGCGCACCTTTAATCCCGGGACTTGTGAGACAGAGGCAGGCGGATCTCTGTGAGTTCGAGGCCAGCCTGGTCTACATAGTGAGTTCCAGGCCAGCTGGGGCTACAGGGAGACCCTGTCTTAAAAATACCAAAAAAAAAGAAAAGATAAAAGTCTGTGGAACTCTTGCTGGTGAGAGAAGGTTCTACCTGATGCCTGGAAAAGGGTCCCTTTTTCCATCTCAGCCCCCCATGCCCACCCCGTTTTCCGAGTCCTTCTACCCTGCATCAGCCCCTTCTTAGGAGGCTCAGGGCTCCATAGATCATGGTGATATGCACAGAGGGGCCTTCTGCATGGTCCTGGGCTCCCTCCAATCCCTGGTGACCGGAAGCTGCCCATGTGGGTTTTTTGAGTGGCCGTGGTGGGCCTCCACGTGCCCAGGCCTCCTGTTATCTAACCTCTTCTTTTCTTCCCACACAGGACTCCGTTGGTGAACCTGTAAAAACAAAACAACAAAACAAAAATTACAAAACCTATAACTAAACTATCTAAGAGGGAGGGTCCCGCACCTGCCTCTTCTGTTTGCCCGTGGGAAACTCAGAGCGGGATGCTCTAGGCCAAATCTATTTTTGTAAAATTGCTCGTGCCTAGGGGTGATCCCTTCTCCCAGAGTTTTCTGGAGAACAGAAAGAATTGCAAGAGAGGACTGGAGACCGAGCAGGGGAAGCCACGCTAAAGGACGGGAGCAGCTAAAGGACGGGAGCAGCTAAAGGACGGGAGCAGCTCCCGATGCCTGGGACTCACACCACAATTCTGAACCTGTGCCAATAATACCATTATGTGCCATGTACCGACCCAGAAGCTCGGCCAGAGCTGAGCCCAGCGAACCACGCGAAGAAATCTTACAGAGGACGGGGTGGGGTCTCTTCCGGAAGAATCACTATTTCTGGTTAATATACATATATAAATATATAAATACCAACAGACACACACACACTTTTTTTGTACTGTAGCAATTTTTGAAGATCTTCAATGTTCCTTTTTAAAAAAAAGAATTGTGTTATAGTTACAAAATCTGATTTATTTAACATGCTTAGTATGAACAGAATAAACTCGTGTTTTCTACTTGGGCCACTCACATCAGAGGCTGCACACACACACACACACACACACACACACACATACCTGCACATGCATACATACATGCATTTATACGCATATATTGGAAATACAGTTCCACAGGTGAGCATAATCTTTATTCCTGGTGACCTGGTATTTCGTTGCCGTTCATCCCAGGGGACAGCCTCAGCCCAGACGATGAGGCCCTTAAATGACATATTACCCTTTTCTTGTCAGATGCTTGCCAAGTGCCACTCAGTGTGTGGCTTGTCACCCTGGGCCAGAATCAAGAACACCGTGGTTTTCTATATATATGTACACACACATGCATATATGTTCTCTTTCTTCCTTTAACTGTCTGAAGATGCTACCTAACAGCCATGCGCACATTGACGTAGCTGGCTGCTGACGAGTTGGCCTGAGCACCAGGTTGGGTGGGTGGTGGATTCTCGAGCATTTGTGTTATACAGGAATAGACTGAATTAAAGAATTTCCAGTTCCAAAAATTAAAGGAATATATCCTCACGCTGTGTGTGCGTATATCAGGGCAGCGAGTAGGAACACATGAAGCACCACGGTTCTGTGCGTGCCCAGCCCACGTGGCGCCTGCTGGCTACACTGCAGTGTGGGCTTCTTCTTCCCACATCATCGGATGGACATGGTACTTTTTGACCAGGATTATTGGGGAAACTGAACACCCAGTGTTGTGCTTTGCCATTAGTCTGTCTACTACGGGGCTTCCCAGGGATGCTAGACTGGTGTTTCCACCCCACCACGCCCACTGGATTGGAATGCCTGCCATGCCCAAGGAAGGTAACTGCCCCCAATCCCGTCTTACCAGACCTCCCCGTCCTTTAGGCTCCCCATCAGTAGCTGTGCTGGAAGGGAAGGGACCTTGGGACCCATTCCACAGCCTGACACTTTTCCATGTTAGAGACAAAAGCCCAGATTGGGTGCAGGGTGTCTTCTCCTCTGCCTGGCCCAGTTGCCACACAGTGTCACTGAGGAAATGAGTGGAGGAGTGGAAGGAGAACCCGCAGACGAGGCTCAAAGGTTGAAGTCCAGACAGATTGCTTCCTTTGTCTTCACTTACTCATTGGGAGACTAAAGTTCTGATTCTTGTCGGGGACCCGGTTGTCCCCTGAAACACTTGGACATACGCTTGGCAAGTGTAGTTGTCGTGGTTCCTGAGACGTGAAGGTCGATGTGAAAGGTGGAGCGCGAAGGCTGATTTACAGACCGTACAGACATACGGCGGTCTGTACGGTGCCTGCTCAAAATTTAGAAGGCGTTCCTTTGGACTTTGTTTTGTCCGTCCCCATATGCTGGAAGCTAAGGCGGTTACCAAGACAATGCATACAGGGGGTGGCTCCAGATTCCCCCATGGCGCTGGACTGTGAACCTCTCCCTGCACCTCATCCGGTCTCCTTATCCTCAAAGCCCTCTCACCAGAGGCTCTACGGCCTCCCTGGCTCCAGGCGAGTGAGGCAAAGTCAGAGCTGACAGGACATGCTGTAGGCAGTGGAGGCCTGCTGCTCAAAGTAGGGACGTTCTGAGCCCCAGAGCAGGTGCAGTGGGAGACAGGGTGGTGAAGGCACCTGCTGTCCTTTGGGCTGCAGCTCCGCCCTGTCTGACCCCAGGACACGGGTTGCATTCTGGGTCCCGTGAACGCTTTGCAGAGTCCCTGAGACCGACTATTGGAGAGAAAATATAAACAAGTCCCAACTCTCACCAACTCGTGGCAGCTCCTTTGATGCACTGAGAGGAGGGCTGTGGGGTCCAACCAGGTACAGGGTGTGTGTGTGTGTGTGTGTGTGTGCGTGTGTGTGTGTGTGTGTGTTCACGCACCATATCAGAGAGCCAGGGCCAGGCCAAAATCTCCCAAAGCAAACTTCCCAAAGGCTGCCGTTTCCTGCAGAATGTAAAGACACTGGTTTATTCTGAAGTGCTCACCTTGCCTCTTCGCCCTTCGACTGGAAACACATTTGCAGAAGAGAACATGTCAGTCTGGGGGATCCCACAGCTCAGGCTTGTGGGAACCCCTGCAGCCCACACATGCCTGGTGGGGTAGAGAGGCAGTGCGCCAAAGCTTGGTGTTCCCTCCTTTCTCTCAAGCCCTGGAACCATTTGCAGACATCCACACTCCAAGGACTTGCTTCCGTTCCTAATGGAAGTTACTAAGGAGGGTCGTGGTGGTGAAGTCCCCAGATGTAGGTCCACTTCTGTCCTGCCCTTTGGTTTTCCACAGTCACAGGCTTCCTAAGCAGCCAACCCCCTGACCATTGCCCACCACCCAGCCATCCACCCTATGGCTCTTTGAGTAGCTGTCTTTGTCTCTTGGTTACTCTCTCAATGCATGGTCAAGCTCAGTTCTAGGGTTAGTCACTTCCAGTCTCCGTGGGGTTGGTGTCACTTTCGTGTGGTTAAAACGAGTACATGGTTGTGCTGATTTCCACATTTTGAGAGTAAAAGGCAAGATTTCCCAGCACAGCCTGGGAAGCCTCCTGATCCTCTCCTGGGCTCAGCTTCTTGCCAAATCTGAGACAGAGCCAGGCATGTGATCACTGTCCTCCCCAGGAACTGCTTCCCGCACAGTGAGGTGCATGGAGACACCCTGGGCAGGCAGGGCTGTGAACGCTCCCATTTGGCAGCCTCCTCACGGGGAAAGACGAGGCCCTGGGCTCTTCCTTTGGTTCTGGTCTTTCCTTCCCACTCTGGAGACTGGGTATGGGTAGACTTCTGCCACCTCTGACCCCCAGGTGTTCCCTTGGAGACCTCACAAACTCTCTGCACTTGGTACTCAGGGAGTTTGCTATTACCGCCATGATTCCGCTCTCTTAAATCCTTTCTTCTGAAGCAGAGAACTCTCCCAGGAGCGTTCTGGTCTCAGGCAGCACCGTCCCTCAGGGGTCCATCTTGTGTGAGGATGTTCAGCTCATCAGCCTAGTCTTAAAGTGAGTTTATCTCATAAAACAATCTCTGAAGGAGAAGGAAGAGAAGAGAGAGAGGAAAGAGGAGGGAAGAGAGAAAGAGAGACAGAGACAGAGACAGAGAGAGAATCCCATCCCTGCTCATTCTGAAGTTTGGAAAGCTGGGCTGATCCAGCCTCTTGGAAGACAAGATGAGGAGGCAAGATGAGGCTAGACCACACCGGGGCTAGAGCCTCCCAGTCATTCCTTCCAAACCATCAAAGGGTCTGACTCTTGTTTGTCAGTCTATTGGCCGTTGTCCTCTTTCACAGGGACGAGCTCAGAGCTCAGGAGTCCCAGTGCTCCCGGGGACTCAGGTCATGAGAAAGATATCCGGATTCCTGCTGCCTAGACCCTTCCTGGTCTCAGCTTGTGAGTCCCTTGGGACGCCACTCACATAGGCAGATAGTAAAGATTCTTCCTGCCTTGTGATTGGCCGGCCACTCATTCATCCATCAAACTAATACCATATAAGCCACAGTCCTGCCCTTGGGGGTTTCTCATTCTGCTATGAGTGAACAGTTACCACACAAGCACTTACAGTGATACACAGGATGCCACCCCTCGCTTAATAGAAGGATGGTCTGGAACCGAATGGCCCAGGAAAACCTTGTTCCTAACACCCAGATAGAAATGCAGTGCAGAGGCATGTATGTGGTGCCAAACCATTACAACGGGCTCTACCTGGCTCTCCAGCGAACCTTGGCTCAGTCCAGTGAGCCAAGATCAACACTGTCCTGCTCTCTTGAGCTCTTCCTCTTCACATCTGCCCTGACTCTAGCAGTTGACCAAGTTCAAAGAGGTCAGAGACTCAGTCCCAGGCACCAGGGTACCCTGCTGGTTCTAGGAGGCAGCTGGGTTTCCCAAACTCCCCTCAACACCCGTGGCGCTCAGCCCCAACCGTCTCAGATAGCATCTGCTTTTAAGTAAGCAGTTACTCCAAACATGCTGTGATTCATGTGATTTTGGAATGGTTACTTTGGCGTGGTTTGGCAGTTTCCCCTGCCTTTCTGGTGTTTGATTGTTTGTTTGTTATCTGATGTAAATAGCACAGCCCACATAAGTGAGCCAAACTCTCGTCGTCTGAGAATCTTTGATTCCTCTTTCCTCTTATTTTACATCAATGAAGGCAGGCTTCTGCTTCATTCTGAGCCGAGACCATGTACAAGTTGCTCGGAGGTCCTTAAGGACCCCGTGGAATTCTGGAATATGCTAGTGGCCCTTCCCTCCAGAGCAAGGTCACGTGCAGCTTCGTGTCTTTCCGGCTTTAGGCCTTGCGTTGTCAGAAGAGGGTGGAAAGGGATTCAGCAAGGAATTGTCCTCCTTTCTGTTACCCCAACCATCAAAGCAAGAAAAGAATGGGCTGCTGCCTCTGCCTTCGAGTCATTCTAGAAAGATCTCCGCTAGCAAGCACGCAGTGGCTAATCCGCAGAGTTCACCATGCAGCCATGGAGCCTGAGCCAGGAAGCTCACCTGTGCACAGGACACTGCTCTCCTGTACTGAGGGGCCAAAACTAATCCTTGGCTTGTACTTTGCCACAAGAGTGGCCTCACCCTCTCTGACAGAACCAGAGATGGCCAGCCTGGTGCAGGAGAGTTAGCATGCCCCCTCAGGTCTGTTCACTTTGGATGCAAGTGGTAAGTATGAATCTTGATGGACACACAACTGGCCAGGAAAGCTGTATGCATCATGGTCTAAATGTAGAATGAGCTAGAGGTGCCCAATCTCGGCTCTTTAGGGCAGCGGTGGGCATCGACAGCAGGGCAGAGGGAAACTATAGAGTACCAGCTCCCAGAAACAGGACCACCCATTACTCCTGCAAACACACAGCCACAGCCACACAAGAGAACAGTCCCTAGGCTCGGCATGCGTCTGTATTGCTGCTGAGAGTGCGGATAAATCCTTCTGGGAGCCTCATCACCTTCCCTTGATGGATTCCCTCCTGAGCTCTCTGCGAGGGGCTGGACATTAAATCAAGGGAGTTCTTTTGAATGGACCCATGAATCCAGGTCACATATCAGGCATCCTTGGCTTAAGAGACAAAAATGGGGCCTACCTTATGCATCTGGGACACTGAAGCCGGGATAGTGGGGGGGGTACTGAAGCCC